AGGAAATCTTCTATTTCATAATTTGCTTCATAATCCTAGAGTTCGATCCTCCTAACTCAAGAACCTATAACCGTTTTCCCTGAGTTCACAACTTTCTACAATGCATACGTTTGGTTATGGGACTTTAACGCCTATTGAGTAAACTAGGGTCATTAAGGCTGCACGTAACCTGTTCACCACCAGACAAGAACACTTCAATCCCTAAAATACGGATTAAAATACACTCTCAACATATATACACTGAGAGAAATACGCCATTTGGTGTATTTTCACTGAGTGGTATTTGAGATATAAAAAATAATTTAAACAATTGTTGTAAACCTTATAAATAATGTTCCAGTAATAGCTTTCTACAATTTAGGACAAGAACTAGAATAATTTAATTCGAGTTCTGTAAAAGTCCGCCAGTGGTACAGTCAGTCCTCAATGATTTATACCTCTATTTTAGTAATTAATGTATCCTTGACAGGTGGTGAGGAGGCTACATGCAGGCTTAATGACCCTTGAAGTAGATGACAGGCTTCAAGCCTAATTAACCAACCAGTTATTCAAATGTGTTCAGTCGGAAACTTTCTACACCCAGAGATTGTTAGTGCCTGTATTTTGAAGTCAGCTCCAAGCGGACTTTTCATTTTTGTGACTCTGAGAAAGCGATCACGAGAGAAAGCGAGGCTGTCGCAAGATGTTAAGACCTTCTCCTCACTGTTTTGTTTAAATTGATATTATAACACGTGTCCATGGTGCCAACCTTATGCCTGAAGGTTCAACAATTTACAGAAGCTTTCGAATTTCTGGGGAAGAAATTACTACATCTCACATCATGGACCCGGGAGAGGTTGTGGGAGTTCGTCTGAGAAAGTTACTTGAGAAGAGAGTTAATTGTTCGATAAATTGGTCAATATCTCCTTGAGAGATTACTGAAGATTTCATTAATATATTCAGGGGAATTGCAAGATTGTCTGCGTGGGGTGACCAGAGGCCAGGTAGCAGCCACCCAACACCCAATCCCGAGCCATCTCCTCTCCCTACTCCAGCACCTGTTAATGTGCAACCAACTGGCGTAATGTCAGTTACAGAATAAGCTTCAGTTAGGACAACGTTTCGTTCTAAAAATGCTTTTGTAACGTGCTTTTTCTTCAGCTGATCTACAGCCACATAAACAAGAGGGAAGTGAATATCAGACGGTCAGTGGAAGGAACATCCAGTTTACGTTCACTTTAAAACCCTTGACAAAGTTAATTAATTAAGTTGATGTCGTTATCCACATTGGGTCAACATTGACAGCAATGCTATAGTGAAGTACTGGCATAATTGGCCCAGAGGTAAGTAATGTTATCGCCGCAGCATCATGCAATTAGAGAGAATGTTGCGCTGTGCAGTTGTAACACACACATTTATGAAGAATAATTAACGCAATTGCCACTGAAATGGTTCTCCGAAACACTTAAATTTCACGTGACTAGTTCGTCCATAATACGAGTTAACGAGAGCAGTTCGAGTGACAATAATCTCTTTCTACTCTGACAAATATTTGATAAGAACAGTTATATTGTTGATAAAAACTGAAGAGACTTTGCAGTTGCATCCTTCATGTTCTAGCCGACGATAAGACATAAAATATCGATGATAGGAGGGAAATAATTCCATAAAAGTGCATCTTAGTGACACTTACTACACTCCCCCTCTCAGGCTGTCTACCCTAACACTACGTTTCTCTGCTCTCATACACATACTACGCTCACTCTCTCTACCTTCACATACCCATTATACTTTTTCTTTTCTCTGCCATCACTCGCTACATTCCCGCTCTCTACTCTCACTCTGATTCATGTATACGCATCGAGTAATGAGAACCCTTGACTCCTGTCCTGAAGTTCATAGTTCATAGTTCACAGTAATTAATCTCATTGTGCTGTGAACTCTTCCCTTCGCCCAGCCTTTGTTTACCTACTTTCTTGTAAATACTCTATGGGTCCTCTCTAACCCATTACCTATTTTCTGTTATGGGACCCTAATAACTCCTCAGGTTTATTTTGTCACATAACTGTTAAAGAGCCCTGAACCAACAGATGCTCTCTAGTGTCAACAGGCGGTCAAGTAATTTATTATCTCTACGGAGCAGCGCTGTATGACCTTGGTAGATTTAGCGCTCAGTGCTGATTATAATAAGCTTCTAAGGAGCCATAAGCTGGTTCTGAAATAAAACAGATTAACACATTTCACATGATACCTAATTTTATAAAGTAGTGAGACGCAAATGATGCGAGAAAAGCAGCTGAGCTGTGTAGTGATATTTGAAATACCAGAGAGAGTATATACGGTAATGATTATTGAAACGTTCGTCACGGAAGGGAAACAGTCTGTGGACTGAGACATGAATTAGTGTTCTCTACAGTGTTGCCAATAACTGTGGCAGGAGACCATCCCGTTCTTCCTGGTGGTCCAGTCGCTGACTTATACTTCGCTTTACTCGTGAACGGCTTCCCTCAAGCATATCAGCGAGAGCAGAGAGCAATAACGTTGTTTTCCAATTAGGAAGAGCGTAGCAGAAGCCTTTGTGAGCATTACTGCCAAATGATTGCCTCTTACAAGCCAGAATTCTGCTCCACAATCTCTTTACAGCGCATTTACAGGAGCAAGAGTCTAGTCCTTAAGTGCGAAAAAGTTCCAGAGTGTTTAATAATGGGGCTTCGTGTACTGCATATTACTATTCAACTGTCTGGGACGACTATTAACTGGGTCTTATCATCTTTGTGTATAATCCTGATCAGTTGTGCTGTGGTGCATACGTTGGTCTTCCGGCGGTTAGTACCAAAAGACTTGTTGATCAGGCTGTCGACCGGGTGGCCTGGTCTGGGACCTGACCGAGGGTGAGTTTACCCCTCTGAACACTCTCCAGGTAGACTCCAAATAGTGGCTGCTCCATTACCGGCAGGTGGACTGCTTATGGACCGGGTGGTTAACAATGGACAGATTATCGGTCGTCGCCATTTCTTGCTCTGCATTATCCACATTTATTTAGCGGTCACAGTGTCAAGGGAACTCCTTGAACTGGCTTCAAGGGATCATACTGTCTATGATACCTCGTTCTCTTCGTCTTAACCGGTTATACGGAGTAGGATACACATTGATCTTGGTCTTAACTGGTTATACAGTGGAAGAATTCAGGATAAGCATCAAGGAGATCTTAAGTGACGGAACATTAATCACTGACTTGTCCATGTATGTTATTAGACGACACTGCCAGGTCTCTCCAGCTTCCTGTTATTACCTTTGTATTAGTATTATATTCAAGGTATATAATATATATATATATATTATATATATATATATATATATATATATATATATATATAGAGAGAGAGAGAGAGAGAGAGGAGAGAGAGAGAGAGAGAGAAGAGAGAGAGAGAGAGAGAGAGAGAGAGGGAGAGAGAGAGAGAGAGAGAGAGAGAGAGAGAGAGAGAGAGAGAGAGAGAGAGAGAGGAGAGAGGAGAGGAGGGGAGAGGAGAGAGAGAGAGAGAGAGGGGAGAGAGAGATGAGAGAGAGAGAGAAGAGAGAGGAGAGGAGAGAGAGAGAGAGAGAGAGAGAGAGAGAGAGAGAGAGAGAGGCCGGGAACAATACTGTGTGATTAAAAATTTATTATATTTGATGGTTTAGATATTATTTTTATTTTCATTATTATTATTATTTAATTATTATTTAATCTCTTATGAGTTATGTAGCTCCGGGAGGAGCTGATCAGGTTCCATCATAGGAAGGGAGAATAGCTCCATTTTCTTGGATCAAGAGATCTTTATCAGTAACAAGGTTGGTGAAAATACTTGGGTTTTCCCCGAAGATGATATCGGTACTGACCGATATAGGTAAAGAGAGAAAGAGAGGAGTAAAGTTAATGAGAAGAGGTGAAAGAGTAACAGAGAAGGTAGAAAGAATCGTTAGGAAAGTGTTGCATGCAACGAGTACATCAACATGGAGCACCTTTGCACTGCTGCCAACCTTGGTTCCTCCCAAAGGTGTCGTTTTATCAGTATTCGATTCAAGCAATACGGAACCACTATCTTATAAATTATCCCAGCCAACTGTATGTACTGTAGCCATAGCCTTGTAGCTTGCTCGGTTGACTGTTGAAGAACTATGACTATCTGACCTCTCCGGGGAGGGTTGACTGGCTGGTTCAGTCACCTCATCTATGGACTGAGCCAGTCAGACCATCTCAGTTGGTTCACATGATGCCGATTACCTCTCCCGGTTCCGTATTAATGTGTGCTCACTCTTGTACCTGAGTGAGTGCTCAAAATGCATCGCTCTACTAGAAGACTTTGGCTTGTGTTTTGAATAGTGTTCACAAACTACATACATGTTCATGCGTTCTGGTAAAGGGATACAGTTACATTTTAAGTTCTTACTGTGACTGCTTTATTTTCTCGTTTGCGTGTGACTGACTGTTGTTAAGCCGTGGATGATAGCACAACTGACTACTGCACACCGCAGTAAAGTACTTGTGTTTATGAAAAAGAGATAAAGAGTCTGTTTGTAAGTTCATTGTAAGACCATTATTGAATAAGTTTTTTTCAGTTGCATTAAACAATTATCGATTTTTTTACATTGCCCTACATAGCAGCATATATGCAAATTATCTGAGATAAACCAATGAAGTCGCAGTGACTTATTTTCATCGGGACGATGGATAAGGTGAGAAGTATTACATTGTATGCTAACGTTCTGGAGACGTGGCTGCCTCTGTTCAACCAGCACTCAGGCAGAAAGAGCCTGGTCGATGGGAGACCATTACACGAAAATCTATTATACATTCTTTTAACATATCTACGAACGAGATTTCCTTTCACTATTTTATAAGTGAACGTATTACTCACGGTGGTCTTATAAACAGAAGAAAAGGGAAGAATCGGCTTTGGAGGGCTGGACGACTGGTGGTACATGGCGACCCCGAGGCCGCTGTGAGACGGGACAGTTCGCGTAGCGGCAGTGTTGTTCCGACCTGTGTTGGTAGTGGTGGTGGTTGCACTCTGTACCCACCTCTCTCCCGCTCCTCACACTACCCACCAACCCATTCATACGGTGAATAAATCGATGATGAATCTATGCACAAACACTCTATCGACCTGTGTAAAATGCTATGCGCTATTTCGCTAGTGATAGCCCGCTGGAACCACTATGATAGAAATACTTTTAAAGTTCGGAAAGTTAGTTTAAGAACCACCGTGTTGAAATTAATATTTGCGAATAAGAAACACACTTAAGAGAAGAATATAAATTTGATGCGTTTTGGATAATAAAGTGTTTTAAGTAGTAGGAGTGACTGGGGAACACTGATAACTTAAATACTTAATTAAACACTCGAAATTGTAGTGATGTCCTCTTTCTCAGCTTCTAAAGTCGTACGTGGGAAAATAGAGCTAAATGTACGTGAAATCAGTGAGCTGAATGCTTGTGTGAGGTTAAAGACACAACTTGCAAGATGTGTTGAGAGTACGTTTCGCTCTTGGTTAGCCTTCATCAAGTGTAGAGGATATTTTTTTTTGCACATGTTCACTGGGAGAAAGTGAGAGAAGGAAGAACAATTAAAACTTGTGTGTGGTGTTGAGGATGCTGGTAGTGGAGCATTAAGTCTACCGCGGTGCCTCACTGCCACCACCTGACACACCATTCTTCCTTGTTCTTAACTTACTCGCCGTCAGTTTGTGTTCAAAAATAATCCTCTGACTGACTTGATAATGAACTACACTGAGCGAAACGTCGTTCCAATAAAAGCTTGTTGTGTAGATTGTGTCTTTATCCCCATACGTGTGGGCGTAACGTCTCTACCTGCAGGATGCTTGTGACGCTCTGAGACCAGGTAGCCGGGGTGATGATACCTAGAACAATTAACTTGTATAAAAAGATATATAAGAGTAGGTGCATCAAGTGGCACGTCAGGGCATGAATTGAAGACAGCGGCACCATGGGAGAGCCAACAGCAGGGAGACTTCTGGCACTGCTGCTCCTGATGCTGTCATGTCCCTACTCACTTCTAACCATAA